TAGCAAAAGCTAGTCGCATGAAAAAACACATGGGCACCACCAGGCAACGTGGCCAGCTTCAGCTCCAAAGTGCGTGGGCCTGTGCAGAGTCAAGAGAGAAGTCGGAGGTCAGTCTCAGTGTTATTGAAGATCTTGGGAGGCAAGTAGCCAGTTTACAAAGCCAATTAACCTATTTGATGGCACAGAAAAAGACAACGGGGGCTGATAACAGGGGAGCAGCAGGGAAAGGTCCAGGCAAAGTACAAAAACTAGACCGTGCTAACACAGACATGCTAAAACAGGCCAAGAAAAAACAGACTTACAGACCCAGGCCTTGGTACTGCTTTAACTGTGGGGAGGATGGGCACATTGCCCCGGTTTGCACAGACAGGGCAAACCCTGCTTTAGTAGCTGAAAAGAAAAAACAGTTAGAGGAGAAGCAGCACATGTGGGATGCACAAAACAGTCTCAACTTACCTTTAAACGACTAGCAGTTCCTGTTGGGGGACAAACAGGGACTGAAGAGAGTCAACAACGTCCCTCAGACGTAAACCGTAAACACAAGGCTGAAGTGTGTGCTAATCTAAAACATTCAAGTAAGAACCACCCTTTCAAACTCCCTAAGGGGTTGGTCGGTACCAAGAGTACCGCTAAAGTCCACATAAAAGGTGAAGTAGTCAGCTGCCTATTAGATACGGGTTCCCAAGTAACGACAGTTCCCCGGTCATTTTATGAACAGCACTTTCCAGAGCAGGAGATTAAGCCCCTACATGATCTCTTGGAGGTGGAAGGAGCGAATGGACAGTCCGTACCCTACTTGGGTTACATAGAAATGACTGTAACTTTTCCAAAAGAGTTTATTGGAGCTTCAATGGATGTAAATTCACTCGCTTTGGTTGTTCCTGACATTCGAGCCACTTCACAGTCCCTTGTTCTTATAGGCACCAATACGCTGGATGTACTGTATGACATGTACTTCGAAGCTGGATTGACACGCCATCAACCAATCCCACATGGCTATAGAGCAGTTCTTAAATGTCTTGAGCTTAGACAAAAACAGACCAACAACAGTCAACCCAGTGTAGTAACATTGCAAGGCAGAAGTTCTAAAATCATTCCAGCTGGTGAAACTGTAGTAGTTGAGGGAGTTGCTGAAGCTTATTGCTTGCAGAATGAGAAGTTTGTAGTCATTGAGCAGCCATCAGTACCCTCCTTGCCGGGTGGCTTGCTGGTAACAGCTAGCTTAGTCGACATTCCCCAGCAGCGGCCCTATAAGCTACCAGTGGTCATCAGTAATGAGTCTGACCATGATATAGTCATTCCTGCTAAATGTGCAATTGCAGAGATAAGTGCTTACCAGAGCATCTTGTTACGGGAGCACAGTGTAGTAAAACAATCAGAATCCCTCTCAAAGTCACCAGAGGCACAGTCAAACAACAAGCACGACTTAAACTTCAATTTCGGTGAGTCCCCAATTCCATCTGAATGGAGAGAACGCATCACTCAGCAGCTCCACAACATGCCCGACGTGTTTGCACAACATGACTTGGATTTTGGCAGAACAGATAAGGTGGCACACAACATAAAACTCTCCGATGAAACTCCTTTTAAACAGCGTGCAAGACCAATACACCCACAAGACATCGAAGCTGTTCGCAACCACATTCGGGAGCTTCTTCATGCAGGAGTCATCAGAGAGTCAGAGTCACCGTTTTCGTCACCAATAGTAGTGGTCAGGAAAAAGAATGGCCAAGTCCGGTTGTGCATAGACTACAGGCGTCTGAATCTCCAGACCATAAAAGATGCATACTCTCTTCCAAAGCTGGAAGACACATTCTCAGCGCTCAGTGGTTCCCAGTGGTTCTCCGCCCTTGATTTAAAGTCTGGTTATTACCAAATCGAAGTTGAGGAGGCAGACAAACCCAAGACCGCATTCGTGTGTCCGCTTGGGTTCTGGGAATTTAACCGAATGCCTCAGGGAGTGACTAATGCACCTAGCACATTCCAAAGACTAATGGAAAAGTGCATGGGGGACATGCATTTAAAGGATGTTCTAGTCTTTATTGACGACTTGATTGTGTTCTCAAAGACTCTAGAAGAGCATGAAGCAAGGCTGATGAAGGTGCTAACACGCCTTAGAGAGTTCGGGTTGAAATTATCACCTGAAAAGTGTGCATTCTTCCAGACGTCAGTCCGTTATCTTGGGCATGTAGTTTCCAGGAATGGAGTCGAGACTGATCCGGAGAAGATTGCTGCTCTTAAGACTTGGCCGATCCCAAAAAACCTGCGAGAGCTGAGATCTTTTCTTGGGTTTGCTGGGTACTACAGGAGGTTTGTTAAGGGCTACTCTAACATCGTTAAGCCCCTCCACAATCTAACCTCTGGTTACCCACCTTCTTACAGGAAATTAAAGTCAGATGAGAAAGCAGGGCAGTACCGCAACCCAAAGGAGATCTTTGGGAGTCGCTGGACACCCGCTTGCCAGCAGGCATTTGACCTGGTGATTAAGAGCCTTACCTCTGCCCCTGTGTTAGGTTTTGCTGATCCCCAGAAGCCCTATGTACTCCACACCGATGCAAGCACCACTGGACTCGGTGCTGTTTTGTATCAGGAACAGGAGGGTCAGTGTCGTGTCATAGGCTATGCAAGCAGAGGGTTGTCAAGGAGTGAGAGTCGCTATCCTGCACACAAGTTGGAATTTTTAGCACTCAAGTGGTCAGTGACAGAAAAGTTCAGTGATTATCTCTACGGCAACCACTTCACTGTTGTTACTGACAGCAATCCGCTGACATACATACTGACCTCAGCAAAACTTGATGCGACAAGCTATAGGTGGCTGGCGGCACTGTCCACTTTCTCATTCAAACTTCTCTATCGTCCAGGAAAGCAAAATGGCGATGCAGATGGATTGTCCCGCAGGCCTCATGGGGAGCTGGCTGATGACCTTAAATCTCAAAAAGAGATAGAGCGCATAAGACAGTTTACTCAGGGTCACCTCTCTGATCCAGAAAATATAGATGCAGTAGATCAAGCTGTTGTGCAAGCAATCTGTGAGAGACAGCTCATTTACAGTGTCAGTTATGTTGGCCAAGATTCTTCAGATTGTGTTGCTTTAGTTGAAACTCTTGCCATCTCACCTACTGCTGTGCCTGACAGTTATGGGCAAGAAGATCACCTTGGTGGGTTGCCCGTTATCCCCCACTTAACTGAGGCAGAGCTTGTGAGTAAACAAAGAGCTGATCAAAGTATAAAGCATGTCATTTCCCAGATCGAGCAGGGAGATAAACCACCCCCGACTTTGCGACATGAACTCCCTGAGCTTCCACTCTTGTTAAGGGAATTAAATCGCCTTGAACTCCGTAATAACATCTTGTACCGGAGGCGCCAAGTGGGCTCTCAGACCTTTTATCAGTTTGTGCTCCCAGCTGAACTGCGTGACCCAGTTTTGACCAGCCTACACGATCACATGGGTCATATGGGGGTTGACCGCACACTGGATCTCGTAAGGACCAGATTCTTTTGGCCAAAAATGGCTTTGGATGTTGAGAGAAAGGTCAAAACATGTGGCAGGTGCGTACGGAGGAAGGCGCTACCTGAGAGAGCTGCGCCTTTGGTCAACATTAACACCACCAGACCCCTTGAGCTCCTCTGTATGGACTTCCTCTCTCTTGAACCTGACAAAAGTGGGACCAAAGACATACTGGTGATTACAGATCACTTTACTAAGTTTGCGGTTGCCATACCAACACCTAACCAAAAGGCTCGCACAGTGGCAAAGTGTCTGTGGGAGAACTTTATGGTGCACTATGGAATGCCAGAAAAGTTACACAGTGATCAGGGGCGTGATTTCGAGTCTCACACAATAAAAGAGCTCTGTCGAGTGGCCGGCATACACAAAGTAAGAACAACCCCATACCACCCTAGGGGCAACCCCGTTGAGCGATTTAATCGCACCTTACTAGACATGCTAGGTACTCTTGACAGCCCAGAGAAATTTCATTGGCGTGACTTTGTAAAACCCCTGGTACACGCCTATAATTGCACCAGGAATGAGGTGACCAGATTTACACCATATGAACTGATGTTCGGACGTCAGCCTCGTCTGCCGGTTGATTTGGCGTTTGGATTGCCAGTGCAAGGGGGTCAGCAAACATCACATGCAGAGTATGTGCAAAACCTTAAGTCACGACTTGAAGACAGCTACAAGATAGCAATTGAAAATGCTGCAAAGATAGCACACAAGAACAAAATGAGGTATGACAGGCGTGTGACTGCTTCGGACTTGGAAGCTGGAGACAGAGTATTGGTCAGAAACGTTCGCATTCGAGGAAAACATAAGATTTCAGACAAGTGGGAGTCAATTGTCCACGTGGTGGTGAGGAGAGCAGGTACCCTGCCCGTCTATACAGTCAAACCTGAAAATCAGGATGGTCCTTTGAGAACACTGCATAGGGACTTACTCCTTCCATGTGGTTACTTGCCTACAGAGGTCAACAAGGCGCCTGACCAGCAGCACACAAGGCGCAGGCCAGCAACCCGTACAAATCCTATTGTGGATGAGAATCATTTCTCAGACGATGAAGATGAAATCATTCCTGTTTACTATTTCAGAGAACCCCCAAATGCTCAGTTTCCCACAGTCCATGACAGTCTTGTGCAGCCTGATCCAACTATGTCTATTGTGCAGGAAAAACAGCATACTGAACCTCCAAGCAATTGTCCTGTTGAGAGTCCTGTAAATGCTCAAAATGATGATTGCACTCCTGAAATTAACAAGCCACCTGATATGTCCAATGGTGCCTCAGACAGTCCCCTCACACTTAATGATCCTAACTGTCACCACTACGACACTGAGGACCTACTTACCGAAAGAGTCGGGCTTGGTGAACAAGTTGATGAAATAGTTATGACCGAAAGTAACTTACCTGCTAGTAAAAATCCTGTGGAGGAGCAAAACTTACCTGATGATGACATCCAAATTGAGCAGCTTCCAGTGTTTTCTGACATGTTGGTGAGTGAGAAGGAGATGAGTCGCAATGGAAGTAAAGAACCAGAAAAGGAAATAAAGGATACAACAGTCAGGAGATCAGAGAGAAACCGTCAGCCGTCAAAGAGACTTGACTATACTGAACTTGGAAACCCCTTTGTCACAGCTGTTAAATCATTATTTCAGGGGTTAACCACAGCTGTGGCTGACATTTTAACTGAAGGTGAAAACACATATCCTTCTGTCCTGTACCCTGAGATACAAACAGTTCAACCATTGCCATGTACAGGGACGTACATGAGTTCAAAGGGGGAGAGTGTAGCCAGGTTAAATAATGAGAAACCCTATTTAGCTGTTTAACCCAGTCACGAAAGGGTTAACTTTAATTTTGTATATTTGATGGACGTGTAAGTGAGCCAATGGGTGAATTCTATGAGGCACTGAGTTGACCAATCAGCTGCCAGCTAGGCTCTGTTACAGTTACGCCTCTAGTTTTGCGTCACTGCACGTTCTTTTGGCGCTTGCACTTGAGCATAGGAGGCTGCGTTATCTGCTTGGTAAGCTGAAAAAACAATAGGAAGTAAATTAAACAAGTTCTGTAATCATTATTGATTATACTGACTATGCCTTATTGTAATATAGAGTGTAAACGAAAGCTGTGCCTGAATCCACTGTTGTCACGGAGCTAAAGGCAGTGAATTCCGTTAAAATGGTGAGTTGTTTATCTAGCCATCTGAGTTCGCTAATATTCATGCTAACAGGCCAGGTTTTTGCTGCTCATTTTTGTATTTAACCTAGTCTGCTGAGTTTATGAGTTCGCTAGCATAGCATCTATGTTAATCTGTGTTAATGGGTGAATCAATGCAAAGGTGTTCATTGTGTAGAGCTAAAGGTGTAAAGCCTGCTGTGTGCATATGTTAATAAGGTAATTAGCCACAATAGGCTAGCGAAATACTGGTTAATGTCTTTGAAACTATCAAGTTATTTCGTTTGTGGGTTATAAAAAGGGATGTTAACTTTTTATATTGCTGCTAAATAGTTAGTTTGTTATATAATGATGTTAAAAATTGTGGATTTAATTGTGGTCACTGAAGCTTAAAAGAGGTAAAAAAAAATTTGTGCATTCTTTCAACTGTTACCGGTGCAGAGGGGGATAAATAAGCACACTAACGCCTTAATGCCTCTAATTTAAAGTGATACAATTTGATTAATATTTACATGCAATTCATGCAGTTTTATTCTTCATACTGTTAATGTGACTACCATAAGGTTTCATAAAACTTGAATGTGAAATGTGTCTTTATGAAGGATGCAAATTATGTAAATTTACTTTTGATACTAGAGAAAAATTCATTTAGTTTTGATACCTGAGAAGAAACATAAGAGCTGTTGTACAACGAGAGAAAGATTTTTATATTGCATTATAGGTGTACTGAAATATTATCTCATTTTATTTTGTAGAAGCCTGTAACAGTCCATTTATTCACTGAATGGTAATTGAAAGAAATGATTTGGCCTTATTTATAGGTCAGGTTTTGGTAAAGAGTTGGGAACATCGGGCAGAGATCCTTTGCATGGAGTGATCCAGATCCAGACGTTCTTCCAAAGATGCATTGATTCCCAGTCTGAGTGGCTGGGTGGCGAGCCAACCGTGTTTGACAACGAATCAGAGTGCTTTAGACGAACTGATTTCATCCTCTTCATCTTCATTGTGGTAGGACAAACACTAACTCAACCTGGAAAAAAAACCCAACGGTGAAACTGAACTTTTGTCAACCAAGGCAAGTCGAACCGAGGACGAACTGAGCTCAAAGATACTGAAAAGAGAGTGTTTTGTTTGTTTACGTGCGCACTTTATTATTTTAGTTTGTTATTTTTCATAAATATGTTTGTTTCCCTTGTATGTATGCTCCACCCTGTGAATTTAATACAGGTTGTCTAAACTGTCATTCTGGTGTGGTATATTTTTTTTATTGATATTCAATTCTCAGGCTCTTAACAATTTAGTGTCTTCTGATTTTGGTCCAAATCGTATTCATGATATTCTCTACGACTACTTCAGACTATTAAACCTATGTACATTATTATTACTACCTCGTAATAAGGGTTACACTTGCTTCCGTGTTTTGCCCTCACACGTCACGAGGTGACGCAGCGCAAATCAAGACTGGACTAGTTGCGCACGTGCTTCAGACGACAGTCATGCAGAGGTGTTCCACAAAGTGTTGTCATCGATGCAGCGCAAGTTCCCTCAAAAGGGAGCGCATATTCCTACCCCAAACTCATGCTTAGTTGAGTCAATGTTGCTGTGTTGCGGGCTAGTCAGGATGATCCAACACACAAAGCAATGTTTGAATAGCACCACAGAGCCATTTGTAGGTTGATTTTCCAAAAACCTTTGGTGTCTCAAAACACTGTTTTGTTTATTTAAGCATTCCATCTATCCTGACATAGCAACACTGGCTCAATCAATGGTCTGAAATTGTATCCTTCTGCAGCTACAGTGACTACCAGCAAACAGCATGTAACCCCTTAGATTAAAGGCACACTATGCAAGAATTGTACCTTAATATAACAGCTTCAAAGTCATTTCGGTGGTAAACAAACTCATAGTAGGGCGAATCATCCTTGTAGTAAAGCTTGGGGGGGACGCTGCTGGAAAAACCAGCAATGCAAGCTTGAGAGGAGCGCCCCCGACAAATCTCGCGAGAATCACGACATGCTTTACGGCAACGACGTCACACACATCAACAACAACATATGAAGCACGAAGTCACTTGCGCGCATTTCAGACGTGATACCCGACGATGGAAAAAGAAAAGAAAACGCGGTCGGAATCTGACCATGTGAGGAACCGGACAAGAGTCCCACTTGGTCGGGCTTCACAGTTGGCGCGAGCATGAGCTATGTTCATTCATCCATTGTTTATAATTAGACCAGTCCAATAATTTCCACATATGTCTAGCTAGCTATTTACGACAGTGCAAGTATTCCACAGTGACTATAGGGGCCGCTGTTTGACAAAAACACAATTTCTACATAGTGTGCCTTTAAGGTGTTTAACAGACATGTATAGGTGTGTTTAAGCTGTTTAATTGTTTTTTTTTTTAAATAATTAATATATCATAGAGTTGTTTGTGGTGGGGTAAATTAAACGCAATATGCATTGACGTCACAATCGTGTTGCATTGTGGTATATGGACCTGCCTGAAATGATCAAAATCGAGGGAGCGAGGGTCTGTCCATATAAACTTCCCTCGTCCACTTCACGAAGTGAAACGCACTTCAAAATGGCGGCAGGTATTCCCCCGAGGGGAAGCGCTTAGGGAAGTTTGCAAGTGCGTGTCTAAAAGGGGAGTGGAACGCAGCCTTGATTCAGATCGTAACTATTTTAAAAGAGTGAAATAGAGTGTCAGGAAAGAGTTAAGTTATTTTTCCAATGTAATCCGGGGAAAAAATATCTTTCATACTTTATTTCGGGGAACTCCGGTGAGTGTTTCCTCCATTGTTTTTCTGTAATCACTCATATGTTCAATTATTGATTTATGGTAAGAATAAATCTGATTGATAACTAACAGATGATGAGTAAATATTGAAATATACATGTTGTGACAGCGATAAAAGATAGTCATAAAACCAATCGGAGTTGATTCAAGTGTGATGTTTAAATCAGCTGCGTCACACACACCAGTTAATGTGCATCTGTTCATGCACACTGAGTCATTTTGTGATTGTTTGATATTATTAATCAACTCTGGGGATATACTGTTGAGAAAAAAAAAACAGAGTTGGCTATGTGATTATTTAATGACATTGGATGTATGACATCCAGTTGTTTCATTTCATGGTTAAGTCTATATATTACAATAATGATAATATGTCAGACATTGCTCTGTTTAATGTTGATGGGTAGCCTATATTCTCCAAGGATTTTCTTTGTAAAACAAGTCAATATGCAGTTGAAGAAAGAAAATAATAATTTCATGTGTAATTTCATGACATATCTGATGCCAATTCAGATTAAGTGAATTTGAATGAGTGATAAGTTCTCTACATTGTGCAGATTGCTTTTTTTACTTCTTGAGTCTACCTTGGACGAGTGTACGGCGAGCCAACAGTGTCTATGTTGCAACGAGTCATTTTCTGGAGCGAATTCAGTATCCTTAATCTGTCATCCATCCCTGGATACAGATAAAAGAATGCAACACACCATACACTTCAGACACCTTGAGTGAAACTGAGTAGTAAATCTTTCTTCTGTCAAGTGACTACTTTTTTTTTTTTCCTACTTCGGAAGGATCAGACTTTAAAAAGAGACAAATAAGAACATAAAAAAAAGACTTTCTGGACTGCGTTTGGGGAAACATTTATTTTATTTGTTGTACCAAACAGGCCTTGTATTTATTTTTAGTTCTATTGACTATATTTTCAACTGTTGAACTCATTTCAATTGATGGTACCAATACAGTACATTTTTCTTCTTTCACAAGTTGTAGTGAAATTGCTGTCTTAAATCCTCCTTGCAAACTTACACTCACCGGCCACTTTATTAGGTAGACCTGTCCAACTGCTCGTTAACACTTAATTTCTAAGCAGCCAATCACATGGCGGCAACTCAGTGCATTTAGGCATGTAGACATGGTCAAGACAATCTCCTGCAGTTCAAACCGAGCATCAGTATGGGGAAGAAAGGTGATTTGAGTGACTTTGAACGTGGCATGATTGTTGGTGCCAGAAGGGCTGGTCTGAGTATTTCAGAAACTGCTAATCTACTGGGATTTTCACGCACAACCATCTCTAGGGTTTACAGAGAATGGTCCGAAAAAGAAAAAACATCCAGTGAGCGGCAGTTCTGTGGGCGGAAATGCCTTGTTGATGCCAGAGGTCAGAGGAGAATGGCCAGACTGGTTCGAGCTGATAGAAGGGCAACAGTGACTGAAATAACCACTCGTTACAACCGAGGTATGCAGCAAAGCATTTGTGAAGCCACAACACGCACAACCTTGAGGCGGATGGGCTACAACAGCAGAAGACCCCACCGGGTACCACTCATCTCCACTACAAATAGGAAAAAGAGGCTACAATTTGCAAGAGCTCACCAAAATTGAACAGTTGAAGACTGGAAAAATGTTGCCTGGTCTGATGAGTCTCGATTTCTGTTGAGACATTCAGATGTTAGAGTCAGAATTTGGCGTAAACAGAATGAGAACATGGAACCATCATGCCTTGTTACCACTGTGCAGGCTGGTGGTGGTGATGTAATGGTGTGGGGGATGTTTTCCTGGCACACTTTAGGCCCCTTAGTGCCAATTGGGCATCGTTTAAATGCCACGGCCTACCTGAGCATTGTTTCTGACCATGTCCATCCCTTTATGGCCACCATGTACCCATCCTCTGATGGCTACTTCCACCATGTCACAAAGCTCTAATCATTTCAAATTGATTTCTTGAACATGACAATGAGTTCACTGTACTAAAATGGCCTCCACAGTCACCAGATCTCAACCCAATAGAGCATCTTTGGGATGTGGTGGAACGGGAGATTCGCATCATGGATGTGCAGCCGACAAATCTGCGGCAACTGTGTGATGCCATCATGTCAATATGGACCAAACTCCCTGAGGAATGCTTCCAGCACCTTGTTGAATCTATGCCACGAAGAATTGAGGCAGTTCTGAAGGCAAAAGGGGGTCCAACCCGTTACTAGCATGGGGTACCTAATAAAGTGGCCGGTGAGTGTAGATGTTCAGTATCTGCTACTTTGCCCATTCAACCTGATCTGTTCATTTAGAACCCCACACTAAAGTGTTATCATGGGTTATAAAAAGAATATTTGTTCTTGATTTCATGCTGAATGCTGAAATCTCATTGGTCCAAAATACCCAAAACATACCTGTATATTTAACATCAAATATAATTGGCTGTGATTGCTTTTCTCAGCATTTCTTTTTTCAGTGTGAAGTAACAAATGGCGTCACTGAAGACGTAGTCTCGCGTAGCCAGACCTTCAGACTGACGGCTGAAGGTCTGGAATTCATAGCAGCTTTCTTTGGCCAAGGTCCGCCCATAAGGCAGTTTGACCGACATGTCAAACAACCAATTACAGTTCGTTTCGTTCAGTGTCACGTTTCGGTGCGTGGAAATGTCCCCACAACAACAGACTGGCGTGCAACAAGTCAGTCAGCATAGAAAATCAAAGAAGGAGAAGAAAACTTCAAGAGTCTATGAACCTCGCATAGGCTACTTTTAAGAATCCTACGTTTAGCTGATCTTGATAAATGCTCATTGTCACTCATGTAAACACAACAGTTTTTCTTCCGCAATCACACGTTTGCGCTTTGTTTTCTGGCGGACCGAAAATAAACGCGACACTCGCACCCCCCGGAAATCCGATAAAATTCAACCAATCAGATGACGACTTCGACATTCCTGAAGTGTTTCCAGTTAAGTGTACCATATGCATCAGACGTTTAGCCAACGTTCCGTGGGCGTGACGTCTGAGGCTGAGACTACTGAAGACGTCACTGGAAATGTCACTGCAACTGTGTCAGAGATTGTAAAGGATCTGAA